TCTGATTTACATTATTTCTTTAATATAAAAAATTAGGAAAAAAGTGGGACACTTCTGTTAAACATAAGGTACTATGTAATCCTAGCTTATTTTAAAAGCCATGTTTAGGGAATTTGCATAGGCATTCCAACACTTCCATAAAATTTCAGCCGTAAATTAATTATTGTAAGTGGAATATAATGTTAAGATTGATAAAATTTTATCACACAGTTATCGATTTTACAAATAATTTTTTTTAATTAATTAGGAAAATCAAAAAAGTTTAACCAAAGGAGCTGTAGAAAAATATACGCTAGTTCCTCGACTCGAATATTTTTAAAATTTAGACGGGCTGTATTATTATTTACTTAAAAATTTCATTTAAATAATCTTTGAATACAAAGCAAATAAAAGTATTCGAAACCGGTTTTTAAAAAGTGAAAAAACCGGGTTATTCGATATTCGAAAAATCAACATTAAGAAAAAACCGACACTGGTAAAGCAGAAAAAACCGGTTTTAAAACCGGTTGAAAAATCGAGTCGATCACCCTAGTCTCTAGGTGCTGTTGCCGAATCAACAGAGCCATAGTAGTGTGGTTGGGCGACATTATGTCGGGGTAGATTGAGCTTGCTCATGACACCTGTATTTCCCCAACGTGACTACTTTGGCAAGAGATTAGATAGCTCGAGTACTCCAGCAAAGTACTTGCGCATGGACCGGTCATAGCCAATGTGCAAAAATTGCCACCTGAGTTCTTCATTGAAGAAAAAGGGGCGATGGTAGACCGTTCTCAAGTCTATCCTGTGGATGAAAAAGACCACCGTGAGATAAGGCCGACACGGCAGGTGCTCACGTTAAAACTCTCGACAGTCTGTAGTTAGCCTATCTGCTGCTTTTTTCATTTCTAAATTTAAATGAATTATTAATCCAAAAAACCGTTAAAATGAAAACCAGTCCTGTTAATTTAAATTTTGTAAAGAAATTATATATAATAATTTAATTTAATTTATAATAATTTAAGTTTCTTTAAGCTTAAGTTTTTATTGCTAAGTAATATGTAATTTGGCCTTGAAGGCTTTGTATTACTTGAATAAATATGCAAAATGCAAAAACGTGCATTTTTTCAACCGGCTTATTGATTTTCATATAAGCATCATTGTCAGCTACCATTTGACGTATATTAGCGGCTTAGGTGTGCTTCATCGATTTATGTTGTGAAAGAAACCCCGCGTATTCAGTCCACGAAAGGCCTTGATTCAATTTTTTTGATGCAAACTAATTCTTTCCATATAAAGATTGACTACTGATAAAATTCAGAATTTAAAATTTGTTTATAATGCGGAAATTCGCTAAAGTAAAAAATGAACAATTTGCAATTTTTTGTATTCGCACTAAAATCTTTGCATGCTAATATTTTATTGCGGCTTTATGATTTCAACATGTAAAATTTAAAAGTATTTCGATCTCGCGATATTTTGGGTATATTGAAGTTACACTGTTAGTGTACTTCGCGAAAAAAGCCCTTTTTCCAAAACTTTCACGTTTGTTTTTTCAATATTTAAGCTTCTCCCGCAGTGATACCTTCTAGAGCACATTTGGGAGATATACATCAAACGACGCGTAATTACAATGTCTACTTTTTTCTATTTATACATTTTGCATAACCAAAGAGCCGCAAATATTATATCCAAAAAACTGCAAATTTTGTAAAATTGTATAAATTTGGTTTCTAACTTATAAATGGCACAACACTTTAATATGGACTATAGTCATTCAATAAGTGTATACAGCTTACATTAGCAAAATTGACTTTCTAAGTTGTAAGCCGCCCTCATGATATCAAAAAGTTGTAAAAAAAACTACTTGGTTTCAATCACATTTTTGAGATATTTTAAATTTGAGTGTTTATTTCTCCAACATGGAACTACTGTTGACCACAAAATTTTATGGACGTATTCTTTTAAGTCTTGTGAATAAAAATTCGTCATCACTTTCATTTTCAAAATATTACACGAAAGAAATATTTAATGTATAAAGTTGATTTCTTAAAATCTAAAACAAAAAATATGTATATTATGATTCTTTAAAAATAATATGTAAAATATTTACCTAATAGCAACATTTATCGCATAATATCAAAATATACGAAGTATGCTCTACCGCGACCAGGTCACGTTTTTGGAGACAAAATCTGTTGTAATTCTGTTTGACTTAAAGTAACAAGAATTATGTATGTATATAATATAAATTTTGAAGTACAATATTAGCTTTGTTTTGAATTACTAAGCGTGTTTCTATTGTTTACCGTTCTGGAATTATAGCTTCATATGTTAGCTTTTTGGCCAAAAATGTGGATTTTTTCAAACTTGAGCGACGAGGGGCACGTGTTAATGTCTATTAATCGAACTAAAATATTACAACACTGAAATAGCTCGTAAACTTCGATCTAACTCAATAAAGTAGAATGAAATTGGAATAAGGACTTGGTTACAATTACCATATTCCATAGCATATGGCACAAGAAGATGCATTCCATTCTGCTGTTGTGTCCGAAAAATTAAATTTTCAGTATTCTTATAATTAAAAATATCATTACAATTTGGAAAATAACTTATCCCCAAGTGGGACTCGATCTCGAGCCTGAAGAATATTCAATTAATAATATTAATATCACAGTTCGAAGAAATCAATAATCTTAATATATAAAATATTAATCAATATCTGAAAAGGGGAATCATTTTGTGGGGTTAAGACAAAGAAGATGCCAACATCGACTTTTTGCGGTCATTCTAATACACATGTAGAAAAAAGCAAAATATTGGAACAGGGATAACCGAAATTGGTGAATTTTTTACCAAAATGACTAAAATAAGTTATAAAACAAAATGGATTCGCTATTAAATACAAAAAATTCACCAATAACCAATCCCGTCTGTTCAGTAAACCGAATCCGAGTAAATTTCTCGTTTAAAAACGAATTCCCATAATTTTTCTCTTTTTAAAACCGAGTACACATATCTAGTCGAAAATAAATCGATTTTAATTTTATTCAAATAAATTAAATAATTATTTTTTACGTTTTTTAATATAATTGTAACTTAATATAAATGTTATGGGCATTTTAAACTCCTTTTCATTAAAATATGAACCGAGTACACATATCTAGTCGAAAATAAATCGATTTTAATTTTATTCAAATAAATTAAATAATTATTTTTTACGTTTTTTAATATAATTGTAACTTAATATAAATGTTATGGGCATTTTAAACTCCTTTTCATTAAAATATGATTATATTTCTGAATTTTACGTTGAAATAAAAATTCGACTTACAGAACACCAAATTCGGTTTTAAAAACTTGTCGATTTTGAAACCAAACGATTTACAGAACAGACATGAATAAATTTTAATGAAATGGGCCAATAATTTTGTTTAACCTAATTGTACCTTTTTTCCTTATTTTTAAATATATAGTATTATAATGTGAATTCTAAAATGCAACAAAGTGCATTTTGTATTAAACTATTCTCTCTATCCAATAAAACTATTTACATACACTGACAAACTAAATTATTGACACAGAAAGCACTTTAAACTTATGATCGTTTTATTGGTCATATTGAAGAGAATTTTATTAAAGAAATATTTTGACTGGATAGAGAGACTAGTTTTTCATAGAATTCACTTTGTTGCATTTCGGAATGTACATTATTACTATTTATTTAAAAAATATGGAAAAATGTCCTAATTAGGTTGAAATTGTTGGCACATTTCATTAAAAACTATTCGATATTGGTTATTTGCGAAATTTTTTGTATTTAATTGCGAATCCATTTTGTTATTGCAGGAATTTTAGTATAAAATTCACCAATTTTTGGTTAGACCTGTTTTAATATTTTGTCGTTTATCTAAATGTGTCTACATCCCCCCTTTTCGGGGGTTCTTTTGTATGGGGGCTAGGTGAAAAAATGCACCGATTTTAACCATCCAATAGGCACGGCATCAAGGTAATATTCAAGACACGGAATCAAGGTAATATTCAAGATAAATGCTTTATTTTGAAAATAAATCACATTTAATATTCATAACTGGTGTAGCGTATCATATGGTAGGCCACGCCCGACGATACTTTCTTACTTGTTTTTTTTTTTAATAAGTTAATTCTATGAAAATTTTAGGAACACTGACCATTTCACTTTGACACGTGATAACTGATCATTTTAGGGAGTAGAAATAATGGCGATTTCACCAATAAAATTTTAGGACCATAAAATTTTAAGATAGTTGGTAAGTGTGCCAATAATTTTGTTCAGGAAAATTGGGTACTTTTTTGAATCTCCATTGTTTAATAACAAATATGATAAACATTTTGTAAAGCAACAAAGTGAATTTTGTGGAGAACCTATCTCTATATTAGTAAATATTTCTGTTTATTGAAAATCTGTGTCAGAATGTCATTAAATCCATCGTGAAGTTTAATGTGCTTACTGTACCAATAATTTATTTTAAAAATTTCTTCAATATGACCAATAAAAAAATTTTAAACTTTAAAGTGCCAATAATTTAGTTCGGCAGTGTACACGTTTGGGCAATAAAATTGGTAGAGAGCAGTTCCTATCCTTCCTTTTTACCGTGTAAATTTCGTGGGTTTCAGATTTGAAAGCATTTGAAATTTTTTAAACGCTCAGGAAAAAGCGATTTACTTTTCCGACGTAGTATTTTATTTTACTCTATGTGTAATATGTAGGTCCGAGTTGAAAATTTCAAAAATATTATGACGCTATTGAACATATTGTAAAAGAATTTTTATGGTTCTTACTGCCGCCGCTGAGTTGACAATCATTGGCCGGAATAAGAAACGGGAAGTTCCGGAGCGAATATTCAATTGATGTGGAACGAGCTGAACAGGTTATCTCTTTACATGTACATTACATAGTCATGGCTATGGCTATTTCTTTTGCCTAACATTGAGGTAAAATATGTAACTTATTGAATTTAGAAACTATGAACAATACTTACTTCTAATGACAGGCACTTATATATTTGTAAAGCAATGTTCGCCGATGAATCATCTAAAAACAATTGTTTAGAGGTGTTATTATTATTCGTGATAAAGTGAAATAAGTTTTCATGGACTCCTTACACTCACCAGTAATGCCAGAAGATTGATTAATTACATGTATATTTTTCTTACAAATATCTAATTTATTATCTGAGTATTCTTCATCGCATTTTATATTGTAAGAACAAGTTTTCAAAGGGTTAAGTGATAAAGGCACTCGCGGTAGCGACGAATGAATGGTTGGTATCGAGCCATCCAAATTTTGATTTTTTCCGTATTTATCACAACTGCTACATTTCTGAACTATATTGCAGCATTTAACATTGTCTAGATTTTTGTTGCATTTACATTCATTAACAGAATCATTTGGTACACTAGTTGTACTATAAATTCGATGTGTTGATATATCATGTTCCTCAATTAACATTAGACAAAGGCGACAAACTTGGAAAAACTTTGGTGGAACACTACACATAATTAATTAAAATATTTTTAAACTCGTAATCCATTAAAATAAATAAACATGTATATAAAATAGACAAATATATAATTTAAAAAAATATATCTTCTATCATTGTATGAAACAAACGATGCATTATATTTTAAATAGAACCCAAAGTGTATTAATACAGTGACGACATGAGCGCAGCTGATTATTTATTTTTAACGTAAAAGTACCAAAAACAACGAAAATTTTTAGAGCTTGTTAGCCTTTAACAACAACAACAGACTTTTTTGACATATTCGTAGCTGTAAAAAAATGTTGCCTATGGTTGTTCTAGGTTTTTGTTGCACAAAAGGTACTGTAGTCACCTTATTAATGTGCTTTGATAGAACCCAGTCTTAACAGTGTCATAATTAGTTGAAAAAAAATCGACTTTTTGTATTTTGAAACTTCGATTTTTCAACTATTACGTTTTATGAAAAGTTGACTTTTTAAATTTTGTGTTTTATGAAAAGTGTATACCGTTAACAAAACAACCTTTTGATAAAACAGCAAACCCTAACAGCTGTTTTCGTTTGTTGTGTGGTGAGTTTCTGTAAAAATATAAACAAATGAAACAAAAACAAAGTACAAGTCAACTTTATTTTGTGCTAAAAAATATATGTATTTTAATACATAAAATTTTTATTGGTCAGTGTTCTAGGAGTACACTAGGGTTCTATAAATCAACTTTCGAACAATCGACATTTTGTCGACAAAAGTCGAAGTCGACTATTTTGTTCCAAAAAAGTTGATAACTCGACTTTGGTCTATGAAAAAAGTCGAATAGTCTTCTTTGTAAATAAAAGTCGAAAAAGTCGGAAAAAGTAGAAAAAGTAAAAAATAGACGAATATTTTAAAATAGTGGAAAAAAGTCAAAAACTCTAAAATAGTCGGAAAAACTCGAAAAAAGTAAAAAAATAATCGAAAAAAGTCGAAAATAGTCGAAAAGTCGGAAAAAGTCGAAAAGTCAACTATTTATAAAATAATAAAAATCGAAAACTCTAAAAGTCGAATTTTACGCAAATAAAGAAAACAACCCGACGATAAATAAAACAGATGTTTTATCAAAATAAACATTTTTTTTGGTGTGGTGAGTTATTTTTGTTTACAAATATGTGTTTCTGCACGTGGAAAAGACGCCAAAACTCGTTTTCAGACGCAAAAACTCGTTTTTGATCAATTAAAATATGTATATAAATGTGGAAAGGAACGAATCTGATCAAATATATATATATTTGGGATTATATCCTTACAGAATGCCTTTTAATAAAAAACATTAAAAAATGTTACTATGGTCATATATAGAAAATGATATATAAATGCTATCGGACGATCTTGTGCACGATAAAAACGTATATAGAACTTTGAGTTGGAAGTGTAGAAATCGGATGACATACATTTTTATCCGGATTTCATCGTTCTAGTGTGTGTACTACAACAACAAACTTTTTTTTTACAAAAAATGTTACTATGGCCGTATATAGAAAATTATATATAACTGCTATCGGACGATCTTGTGCACGATAAAAACCTATATAGAACTTTAAGTTGGAAGTGTAGAAATCGGATGGCGTAAATTTTTTTCCGGATTTCATTGTTTTAGAGTGTGTATTACAACAACAAACTTTTTTTTTTTACAAAAAATGTTACTATGGTCATATATAGAAAATGATATATAACTGCTATCGGACGATCTTTTGCACGATAATAACCTATATAGAACTTTAAGTTGGAAGTATAGAAATCGGATGACATACATTTTTTTCCGGATTTCATCCTTCTAGGGTGTGTACTACAACAACAAACTTTTTTTACAAAAAATGTTACTATGGCCGTACATAGAAAATTATATATAACTGCTATCGGACGATCTTGTGCACGATAAAAACCTATATAGAACTTTAAGTTGGAAGTGTAGAAATCTGATGGAATACATTTTTTTCCGCATTTCATCGTTCTAGGGTGTGTACTACAACAACAAACTTTTTTTACAAAAAATTTTACTATGGCCGTATATAGAAAATTATATATAACTGGTATCGGGCGACCTTGTGCACGATAAAAACCTATATAGAACTTTAAGTTGGAAGTGTAGAAATCGGATGGCATACATTCTTTTCCGGATTTCATCGTTCTAGGGTGTGTACTACAACAACAAACTTTTTTTTACAAAAAATGTTACTATGGCCGTATATAGCAAATTATATATAACTGCTATCCTACGATCAACTAAAATTATTTTAGTTGATGGACTGTAATAAAATCCCAGTATATACTTTTATGGATATTAGACCAATATTTCGATGTGTTACAAACGGTGTAAAATGTTCCTTGACTCCCTGATGGGTTGTGTCTTCCAAGTGGTGATTTAGCGATCTTGAAAGTGACGGAACAAATAGGGAATCACATTGTTCCCCGGTCTCTGGTAAGATAGTCATGCTGCACTCAAAGCAATAATATGTCATAGCTGTATTCTTGCATAGTCGTATAATGAAGAAAATATTTAAGTGTTATTATGAGACCGTTTACAATAAGGCTGTGTTGGGTACCAGAACCCTGCAATATACACAAAAGAGGTATCTGGCGAACTGACACAATGAGGCTCGAATCTTGCCCCATATGAACGGAACAAGAAGTTAATGCCACCCCTTTTTCATTTTTTTAGGTTGATCTCCGATGGATTCCGTGACTCTATCAACCAGTCATGGAATATAGAATGAATTGCACATTATATATGGCGTTGTTAAAAAGGTTTGATTCTAAAGAAACCGGAATTATTATTGGGGTAGATGGTGTACACCAAGAACACTTGTACTAGATATAAAACATTATAAAATTACATAAATTTTTCTTAGCACAAAATAAATATGTCTAGCAATTTGTTTTTGTTTCATTTGTTTACGTTTTTACAGAAACTCACCACACAACAATCAAAAACAGCTGTTAGGGTTTGCTGTTTTATCAAAAGGTTGTTTTATTAACGGGTATTGATAAAACAGCAAACCCTAACAGCTGTTTTTGATTGTTGCGTGGTGAGTTTCTGTAAAAACAAATGAAACAAAAACAAATTACTAGACATATTTATTTTGTGCTAAGAAAAATTTATGTAATTTTATAATGTTTTATATCCAGTGCAAGTGTTCTTGGTGTACACCATCTACCCCAATAATAATTCCGGTTTCTTTAGAATCAAACCTTTTTAACAACGCCATATATAATGTGCAATTCATTCTATATTCCATGACTGGTTGATAGAGTCACAGAATCCATCGGAGATCATCCTAAAAAATGAAAAAGGGGTGGCTTTAACTTCTTGTTCCGTTCATATGGGGCAAGATTCGAGCCTCATTGTGTCAGTTCGCCAGATACCTCTTTTGTGTATATTGCAGGGTTCTGGTACCCAACACAGCCTTATTGTAAACGGTCTCATAATAACACTTAAATCTTCTCTTCATTCTACGACTATGCAAGAATACAGCTATGACATATTAATGCTTTAAGTGCAGCATGACTATCAACCTAAAATCTTACCAGAGACCGGCGAACAATGTGATTCCCTATTTGGGAAGACACAACCCATCAGGTAGTCAAGGAACATTTTACACCGTTTGTAACACATCGAAATATTGGTCTAGTATCCAAAAAGTATATGCTGGGATCTTGTTACAGTCTAAGACCATCTAGCTAATATTTGCCAAAATAATTTTAGTTGATGGAGTTTGTTATTGAAAATGGACAATATCGGTATACGATAAACTCATCAGGGAGTCAAGGAACTTTTACACCGAAATATTGGTCTAAAATCCATAAAAGTATAGACTGGGATCTTAGCCAATATTTGCCAAAATATTTTTAGTTAATGGAGTTTATTATTGAGCTTCAATATTCCAGTATAGCGAAGAAAAACGACAAAAACAAGTTTTATAGGAACTAAAATCTTTTTGCCAAATTTTATGAGGATCGCTTCATATTTGACACTGCTCTCATATAAGGTTCCTCTAAGGAAATTATTTTACAAGATTTGTATGATCCAAAACCTTTCTGGGTTGGTCCAAAAATGACCCTACCCCCATATAAGTTCCCCTTCAGAAAAAGATATTAACTCCAATAATTGTAATAAAAACACCAATATAGCAAAGAAATTCCACATAAACAAGGAGTCAAAATCGTTTGGTCAAATTTAAGAGGATCGTTCCATAATTTAACCTATCCCCGATATAAGGTCCACCTCGGGAAATTACTACCGCTCATAACTGGCTTAAAAAATTTATAGCTATAAAATTCGACATAAATTTTATATCAAACAAAATTTATCTGTTGAATTTTGTAGGGGTCGATCCACAGTTGACCCTACCTAAAATCTCAAACAGATTATGCCATCCGATTACTACACTTCCAACTTAAAGTTCTATATATGTTTTTATCGTGCACAAGATCGTCTGATAACAGTTATATATCATTTTCTATATACTGCCATAGTAACATTTTTTGTGAAAAAAGTTTGTAGTCTTCCAACTTAAAGTTCCATATAGGTTTATATATTGCAAAAGATCGTCCGATAGCAGTTATATATCATTTTATATATACGGACATAGTAAAATTTTTTGTAAAGAAAAAAAGTTTATTCTTGTAGTACACACCCTAGAACGATGAAATCCGGAAAAAAATATATGCCATCCGATTTCTACACTTCCAAGTTAAAGTTCTTTATAGGTTTTAATCGTGCACAAGATCGTCCGATAGCAGTTATATATTATTTTCTATATATGGCTATAGTCACATTTTTTGTAAAAAAAGTTTGTTGCAGTAGTACACACCCTAGAACGATGAAAACCGAAAGAAATATATGCCATCCGATTTCTACACTTCCAACTTAAAGTTCTATATAGATTTTTATCGTGCACAAGATCGTCCGATAGCAGTTATATATCATTTTATATATTCGACCATAGTAACATTTTTTGTAAAAAAAAGTTTATTGTTGTAGTACACACCCTAGAACGATGAAATCAGGAAAAAATATATGCCATCCGATTTCTACACTTCCAACATAAGGTTCTATATAGATTTTTATCGTGCACAAGATCTTCCGATAGCAGTTATATATAAATTTATATATACTTCCATAACTTTTTTTGGAAAAAAAAGTTTGTTGTTGTAGCACACACCCTAGAACGATGAAATCAGGAAAAAATATATGCCATCCGATTTCTACACTTTCAACATAAGGTTCTATATAGATTTTTATCGTGCACAAGATCGTCCGATAGCAGTTATATATAAATTTATATATACTTCCATAATAACATTTTTTGTAAAAAAAAGTTTGTTGTTGTAGTACACACCCTAGAACGATGAAATCTACAAAAAAAATATATGCCATTCCAACTTAAAGTTTTATATAGGTTCTTATCGTGCACAAGATCGTCCCATAGCAGTTATATATCAATTTATATATACTTCCATAATAACTTTTTTTGTGAAAAAAAGTTTGTTGTTGTAGTACACACCCTAGGACGATGAAATCGGGAAAAAATATATGCCATCCGATTTCTACACTTCCAACATAAGGTTCTTATAGATTTTTATCGTGCACAAGATCGTCCGATAGCAGTTATATATAAATTTATAATAACATTTTTTGTAAAAAAAAGTTTGTTGTTGTAGTACACACCCTAGAACGATGAAATCTACAAAAAAATTTATGCCATCCGATTTCTACACTTCCAACTTAAAGTTCTATATAGGTTTTAATCGTGCACAAGATCGTCCGATAGCAGTTATATATTATTTTCTATATATGACCATAGTAAAATTTATTGAATGTTTTTTATTAAAAGGCATTCTGTAACGATACAATCCCAAATATATTTATATTTTATCAGATTTGTTCCCTTCCACATTTATATAAATATTTTAATTGATCAAAAATATTTTTTTTACAGTAAATCATGAAAATCAATTTTTTTGAATCTTTTCCACGTGCATAAACACATATTGAAAATGTAAATAATGAAAACGAGTTTTGCGTCTTTTCCACGTGCAGAAACACATATTTGTAAACAAAAATAACTCACCACTCAAGGAAATGTTTATTTTGATAAAACAGCTGTTACGGTTTGTTTTATTTTTCGTCGGGTTGTTTTCTTTATGTGCGTCCCTTGAGTACACCATCTACCCCTATAATAATCTGGTTGCTTTCGAATCAAGCCTTGTCGAAAACTCCATATACAATATAATTCTGTATTCCAAGAATCATTGATACTGCCACAGAATCAATCGGAGATCAACCTGTAATAATGACAAAGGGTTGGCTTTAACCTCTTCCAGGTAGGTCAAGATTAGAGCCTCATCTTGTCAGTTCCCCAGATACATCATTTGTGTACATTGCAGTGTCCTGGTACCCAACACATCCTTTTTATAAACGGTCTCTTAATGTAAGAATACACATATGATATCAATGCGAATTCAGATAAGGTGGTGGCAGTTCTGCAACGACAACATTTTACATGTATTTTGTTTTTGCATTTGGTTTACGTATATGTCAAACACCATAAGTACGGCGAATTCATTTGAAGAAAAATTTTTGTAAAATGTTTATATTATTTTAATCGTGCACAAGATCGTCCGATAGCAGTTATATATAAATTTATATATACTTCCATAATAACATTTTTTGTAAAAAAAGTTTGTTGTTGTAGTACACACCCTAGAACGATGAAATCTACAAAAAAAATGTATGCCATCCAATTTCTACACTTCCAACTTAAAGTTCTATATAGGTTTTAATCGTGCACAAGATCGTCCGATAGCAGTTATATATCATTTTCTATATATGACCATAGTAAAATTTATTGAATGTTTTTTATTAAAAGGCATTTTGTAACGATATAATCCCAAATATATTTATATTTTATCAGATCTGTTCCCTTCCACATTTATATACTTATTTTAATTGATCAAAAATATTTTTTTAGAGTAAATCATGAAAATCAATTTTTTTGAATCTTTTCCACGTGCATAAACACATATTGAAAATGTAAATAATGAAAATAAGTTTTGCGCCTTTTCCACGTGCAGAAACACATATTTGTAAACAAAAATAACTCACCACACCAAAAAAATTTTTATTTTGGTAAAACAGCTGTTACGGTTTGTTTTATTTTTCGTCGGGTTTTCTTTATGTGCGTCCCTTGAGTACACCATCTACCCCTATAATAATCTGGTTGCTTTCGAATCAAGCCTTGTCGAAAACTCCATATACAATATAATTCTGTATTCCAAGAATGATTGATACTGCCACAGAACCAATCGGAGATCAACCTGTAATAATGACAAAGAGTTGGGTTTAACCTCTTTCAGGTAGGTCAAGATTAGAGCCCCACCTTGTCAGTTCCCCAGATACATCATTTGTGTACATTGCAGTGTCCTGGTACCCAACACATCTTTTTATAAACGGTCTCATAATGTAAGAATACACATATGATATCAAGGCGAATTCACATAAGGTGGTGGCCAAGGCGAATTCAGATAAGGTAGTGGCAGTTCTGCAACAATAACAGTTTACATGTATTTTGTTTTTGCATTTGGTTTACGTAGATGTCAAACACCATAAGTACGGCGAATTCATTTAATGAAAATTTTTTGTATATTATTTTAATCGTGCACAAGATCGTCGATGAAATCCGGAAAAAATATATGCCATCCGATTTCTACACTTCCAACTTAAAGTTCTATATAGATTTTTATCGTGCACAAGATCTTCCGATAGCAGTTATATATGTAGGAACTGGATGGAAAGGGATGGTGAGAAGATCACCTAGATTCGCATGACAAGGACAGTAGATGTTGTTAGTGGGTTGGGTCAAGACAAATGGGGACAAGACGGAATGGGAACGGGGGTATAAAGGACATACGTTTAGGACAAAAGAGGATCAGTTGTGGACAACAGTGACAGAATTTCGCATTCCAAATCGCATAGTGTATTAATTATTTTGTTTCTTTTAATATTGCGTTAAGTTTAAATTATGTAAATAAATGTAAATAGTATTAAATGAATTGAATTGAAAACCAAAGTGTTTTATTTTGAATTGGAGAGATGTAGGAATATTGAGCCGAGTGAAAGAGACAGAAATCTACAAAATTGGGGGCTCAACCGGTATGAATCAATTGAGTCAAACAAATAAAGTATTCATCAAAATATTTTCCATTGGACAATTGTGTGAAAGTGAGCTACATAGCACTAGTGTGTGAAGAGGAGTAAAGCAAAAGGAGGAAGGCAAGTATATACAGTAGTTTCAACGGTTGCCGATAATCGACAACAGATGTCGCTTCATGTAAATGGCTTAGAAACTAATACTAATAGATGGCGCTAGTGAGAGGATGTTGCTGGTAGATGAGTTCGCATGTTAAATAATCGCAGGATAGAGGGTAAGCATATTTGTCGTGAGATTTACGTCTACAGAGGGGCGGAGACAATTAATGCTGCTGATCAGAAATATGTCGTTGTTTGGGAACGATAGTGTAAAGGCGATTTTGTATGCATAACGGGGAGAGCATTATTCGAGTGAGTATTTCATCCACAGAGGGACGAATACAATGGGAGTGCAAAAAACCTATTAAGAGATGGCGCTGTTGTGAAATGGTGGTATAAGGGCGTGTTTATGTTCATAGCATTCGTATATGGAGAGAGTGTGTTACGTCTAGAGAGTGACAGAGTTCGATAGAGAGAGATTATCGATGCATTGTGCTTATTATCGTACGTCAGAACGAGAGAGCATGAAGCTATGCGTGTGAGCTGTGTAAAATAGGATATCAGAACGCGTTGACAGTTGTGGAACGGAGAGAGAAGCGGTACAGCGAAGCCCTGCCCAGAGTTTGGTTCGAGTTCAAATTGTTCCATAAGGCAATTTGTCTTTGTAAGCAGACCGTGGGAACTAGAGTTGTTTACGTATTTTCATTTTTATGTATGTATATTTTGTTGTGTTTTGTCCGTTTTTTTTTGTTGACCTTTTTTTTTGCGTATTGAAAAGTTGTTTGAGTAATTTTGCGCAGCTGCGTGGGATCGCGAATTGTTTTGATTATTGTTGTTGTCCATTTTTAAAAGGGAAAGTGTTTTGTCTGTGATTTGTTGTTGTCTGCTATTTTTCTTTTAGAAAAAAGGGATCACATTTTTGTTGTTGGGCGGAAAGGGATCACCTTTTTTGTTGTTGACTTATGGTCATCGTTTTCAATTGCAGGTGCTATTACATTGTAACCTTTTTTTAAGGAAAGGGTTTTGTTTACTACTTAGCGTGGGAACTGCGCATGTGCAAAGTGTTTTTCTCATGAGAATCATTTTTTTTTTATCATATCATTATTTTTGTTTTTTTTTTACTTATTGGATTTTTATAACATATTTGCTATTTTGTTTTTTTTTTATTAAATTTTTTATGACATATTTTCTACATTTTTGTTTGAACCTTTTATTTTTTTTTAATATATTAATTACTATTTTGAATTTTGGATTTTTTTGTAAGCGTTAGTTCCATGGAAATTTTGACAATGACTGTAGAAGGATTAAAGGCTAAATTAGGGGAACTAGGACAATTGACTGACGGTAGTAAGACTGTTTTGCAGGAGCTGTTGATAAAGTATTATCAGACATCATCTACAAATGCTGATGATAATACCTCCGAATACGGTGAAGCGGCTTCAGGTGTTCAGCGCGGTGAGGTGGATCGCCATGGACCTTCAACCTTTACTTTGAGGGACATTGAGGATTCATTACCCAAATTCTCTGGTGAAGAACAACCTGAGGTTGATCAGTGGTTTCAGCAGTTTGAGGAGGCAGTTTGAGGTGGCAGTTTGAGGAGGCAGTTATTAGCGGGAGCAGCTTAGATTTTTGTGAGAGGCCAAAGCAGCATACGAGATTGGTGTGTTTACGCAGAGAATTCGATTCGAGACTCTCATCCATTGAAATTCATCGACTATTAAAGAGTCGTAGGAATCGTCCTGGTGAAAGCTTGCGAGAATATTTATATTCCCTGATGGAGATTGGAGCGCCAATCCAACTTGATGAGGAGAGCACGATTGAGTATTTCATCGAAGGTATTTCAGACTCCAAGGTAAATAAGACTGTTTTATACCAGGCTATGGACATCGATGACTTAAAGGTCAAGATGAAGGTGTATGATTAGTGGTTCCAATAGGCAAACGAATTCTAAAGGATTCCTGCCAAAACAAGAACGAGCGAAGGATGCTGACCTACCTGATGAGGATGTAAAACGTTGTTTTAAATGCGCTGAGAAGGGACATTTGGCGAGTCAATGTAGATCCAAGGAGATTAAGTGCTTTAAGTGCAAGGGGTTGGGTCATAAGAGCTCTGATTGCAACAGGAATAAGAACGAGAGTGGAAAGGTTGTGAAAAAGGAGGATGGCAATGTCCAGACTTTGACTTCTTTATCTTCATATCGGATCTTTAAGAATATCATCATTCGGAACCAAGAGATTTCGGCTACTATTGATACGGGTAGTGACATAAGTTGCTTAAGGAATGAATTATTTTTGGCGCTGGGTGATGTCGAATTGGAATCTTGTAAGAAGACTTTGACTGGAATCGGCCAAAAGGATATAACAACACTTGGATGCTTTTCGAGCAATATTGATGTGGACGGAGTTTTGGTACCAATCATTTTCCATGTAGTTAGGGATCAGGATATTTTGTATACAGCGATTATTGGCAATGACGTTCTTGAATTTGTGAATATGACAGTGAGCTTTAAAGGAGTGGAATTCTCGTTAAAGTCTGCCAATCCAAGTCCCACGGAATTTCGGAGCGATTCTATAGCCATGCAGAACGTTCTTAAGGAGCTTTCAGAGATAGAAGTTGTTGGCCAAATTGGTGATGCTGGCTACATTGATCAAGTCGATTTATGTCACTTGGGGCATAATGAACAGAAGGAGATTATGAGGATGTTGGATGACTACAGACCAGTAAAGCCGAACACATTTCCAGTCAAGATGAAAATTATACTAAGTGATTAAGTCCCAGTATGCTACAACCCGAGAAGGATGTCTTTTGCCGATCAGCAGACCGTAGACCAACAGGTCAAGGAATGGCTGAAGGAGGGTATTATAAAGCCGAGTTTTTCAGAGTAATCTTCTCCGGTAGTTCTTGTTTCCAAGGATGGTTCGAAAAGATTGTGCTGCGATTATCACCGTTTGAACGAGAAAATTATTAAGGATAATTTTCCAATGGTGTTGATTGACGATGTTTTACAGCGATTACAGGAATGTAAAGTTTTTACCACCCTGGATTTGAGGAATGAATTTTCCACGTGTCTATTGAAGATGATTCCCGAAAGTATACTGCCTTTGTTACTCACAACGGACAATATGAATTTTTGTATGTTCTCTTTGGAATATCTAATTCTCCGGCTGTTTTTTGCCGATACATTTCCGCGATCTTCCAGGACTTGATAAGGGATGGCACACTTGTAATTTATATGGATGATATGATAATACCATCAGTGGATGAAATGGAAGGCCTTGCGAAGTTGGGAAAGGTTTTACAAGTAGCGGCATCAAACAGACTTAACATAAAATGGAGCAAGTGCCAGTTTTTGATGAGGAAGATAACTTTTTTGGGCTATATAATAGAAGATTCGACAATACTACCTTCTAAGGAAAAGACATCGGCTGTGGAAAAATTTCCTTTACTCAAGGATAGGAAATCTGTTCAATGATTTCTTGGTTTAACATCGTATTTCCGAAGGTTCATCCCAAATTATGCACTGATCGCCAGGCCACTGTCCGATTTACTTCGGAAGAATGTTCAGTTTAAGATGGATGACGAACGAGTTTTAGCATTTCAACAACTAAAATCTTCCCTTGTGTGTGCACCTGTGCTAAAACTGTATAACCCTAGGGCAGCGACGGAAATACATACCGATGCTAGTATGTACGGTTATGGAGGTGTCATGTTACAGAGGGATACTGAAGATCAACAATGGCATACAATAGAGTATATGAGTCGCAAAACTACCCCAGCTGAGGAGAAGTACCACTCATATGAGTTAGAGGTTTTGGCTATTATTGAGGCATTAAAGAAATGGCGAATATACTTGATGGGTACCAGGATCAAAATTGTGACGGATTACAATGCTTTTGCAATGACAATGCGGAAACAGGATGTTCCGTTAAGAGTATCCAGGTGGGCGCTTTTCCTTCAGGATTATGATTACGTCATAGAGCACAGATCTGGGTCGAAAGTGAGACACGTGGATGCCTTGAGCCGGGTTTCATGTTTATTGATGGAAGACTCATTACGACATCGGATAAGGGAAGCCCAACTACAGGTAAAGGCAATTCGTAGAATTCTTCAGCACGATTCCCATGAGGACTTCTATCTTAAATACGACATATTGCACAAGGACACAGATAAGGAGCTAATTGTAATTCCAGTGAACATGGAAAGGGAGATAATAGAAATTGCTCATCGCCAAGGGCATTTCGAAGCACGGAAGACCCAGGATTTGGTAGGGAAAACGTTCTATATTCCGAAGTTGAGCGCTAAATGTGAGAATGTAGTTAAAAGCTGCATTGAATGCATTATGGCGAATTCTTAATCCCATAGCCAAGGCAGATAAACCGTTGATGGCGTTTCATTTGGATCATGTTGGTCCTATGGAGACTACTCAGAAGCAATACAATCACATTTTGGTAGTGGTTGATGCTTTCTCGAAATTCGTCTGGCTTTATCCAACAAAGAGCACGGGATAAGGAAGTTGTTGACCAGTTGGACAAATAATCTGCGATATTTGGTAATCCAGCAAGGGTAATTACGGAGAGAGGTACGGCCTTCACGTCGAATATGTTTATGGAGTACTGCGAAGAGGAGGGAATGCAACACTTGTTGATAGCAACAGGCGTACCGAGGGGAAATGGCCAGGCTGAAAGGATGCATCGAATAATAGTACCCATGTTGTCGAAATTGTGTATCGAACATCCTCAGAATTGGTATCGCTATGTTGATCGAGTACAACAGGTAATGAACAACACGACATCTAGAAGTACTGGGAACAGCCTCTTTAGGATATTATTTGGATTAAATATGAGAACTAAAGACAACCCAATCATGGTCGCTACGAGGTGGAAAAAGTTGGTGAATTTGAGGATTCTGGTAGGTGTACCACTATCGCGGAGTATATGAAGCCGTGGAGTTCTACATTCGGGTCGAATGTAGAGTCAGGAGGGCCGAATGTAGGAACTGGAGGGAAAGTGATGGTGAGAAGATCACCTAGATTCGCATGACAAGGACAGTAGATGTTTTTAGTGGGTTGGGTCAAGACAAATGGGGACAAGACGGAATGGGAACGGGGGTATAAAGGACATACGTTTAGGACAAAAGAGGATCAGTTGTGGACAACAGTGACAGAATTTCGCATTCCAAATCGCATAGCGTATTAATTATTTTGTTTCTTTTAATATTGCGTTAAGTTTCAATTATGTAAATAAATGTAAATAGTATTAAATGAATTGAAAACCAAAGTGTTTTATTTTGAATTGGAGAGATGTAGGAATATTGAGCCAAGTGAAAGAGACAGAAATCTACATATATCATTTTATATATTCGACCATAGTAACATTTTTTGTAAAAAAAGTTTATTGTTGTAGTACACACCCTAGTACGATGAAATCTACAAAAAAATGTATGCCATTCCAACTTAAAGTTTCCTTCACGAAGGGTAGTCATCTTGTCGCGATGTGAAGGCTTAAGTGCGATGAATCTCATGGGCCATGCTGACGGAGACAGCTTTGCTTGAGCTGGCTGCCTCCTAGGGGTCACCCTTGTCAGACGGGTCATGAGACGAGCACGAAACTAAGAACTACCCCTCCCACCTAACAGATGTCTGTTTCCCACATTGGGCGGTCTGTTAGTAACGATCTGTTGATTTGCTTCTCCTGTCACTGAGACAGGGCAATCAACAGAAAGTCTGTTTTGAATCATTTGATTCACGCACTTAAGTGTGCAAGTCCTGAAATCCATCAAGCGTCTGTTCCAGATTGGACGGCTTGATTGTCTGTTTGCTCCCAGTGGGACGGCAGTTTATAGTCCTGGCAGTAGGCCAAAAATGCAACAAACCCCCCCCCCCCCCCCCCAAGAATGTCAGAGAAGAAAGAATGCCCTCGTATCCGGTCCGGGGCTTGATAATATCCGGAGACCCTATTCCCACAGCGGCGACACCGGGCTGTGGTGAATCGAATGCGACTGGCGTCCGGACTAGTCAAGTGGTAGCACCAGGCTTGACTACTCCGCGAGCTTCTGGAGCAACAACAACAACAACAACCGCAAGTAGCCGGCCCAAGCTGGCTGCTTGTAAACCAAAACCGCCCACTAAGCCTTCGGGTGTGGGTAAAGGTCCCAGCGGTGAGGTACCTCTGCCTGTCGTGGCGAGTACCTCTGCAGCCGCAAAAGCAGCCCTTGCTGATTCAAAGTCAGCTCAATCCCTGTCTTCGGGTGACAACAAGGTCTCCCAAGTGCCCTGTGCGAATGTGGAATCGTCGACCCTGATGTCGGATTCCTCTGCTGCACCTCCCCTTACATTGGAAAAGTCGTCAAACTCGTTGTCGGGCTATTCCAATGTATTCCTAGAGTCTTCCCCCAGGCACAAAACACCTTCCAGAAGGGCTTTTGTTCATCGGCGGGCCACCGAGCGCATCGTTGAGCGTCATGGCGCCAAACCCAACGATGCTTTAACGAGAGACGAGAAATCGTCCCTCGATTGGGCGAAAAGCCTCCTGGCTAGGCTAAAAGGCTCCAATCCTCCAGCTGAGGCAGAAGTGGTTAGACCTGCTGCCGAGGCGCCTAAACGGCAACGATCTGAGGAGGAGACCCTTACTTCTACGCCGAACGACCAGCCGACTAAACGTCAAAAACAGGCGCAAACCATTGTCATCAATAGGCCTTTCAGTGAAGTGGCTAGAAACCCACTGGTAAGGGCTATTGTTGACCAAAGCAACAGCGACGGAGCCATCTCCCAGGGACTATCCGTCAGAAGATGCTAGGCGTGTACTGGAAGATCCTCAAGGAGAATCCAGGACCCGCCCCCAAAACGATGATGCTGGTTGGTACCAGGGTCACATTAAGCTGCTAGCTTGTTCAAATGAGCGTTCTGCGCTTCTGCTCAAGCTAGAAGTGTGGCCAGGTGCAAGGTTGGACGTGATCCCGGTAAGCGAAATTCCTCGCAGACCGAGATCAATTGCCACCATCCCAACTGAGCCACATGACCCGGCGGAAATTCTGGCGTTCCTACATAGCGGAAATCCTCATCTACCTACCCATGATTGGAAGGTGGTGAAGGTTTCCGCCCCGATGGGAAATGTCAGAAAGGCGACTGTTGTCCTTAATAAGGAAACGTTGGCGCCATTGCGTGAATGCGGAGGTAAAGTTTACTATGGTTTTGATAGTATCTCCCATCGCAGTGACGCCAAACGCAGCGCCGCCGCCTCTGGTACTAAGCTGGAGGCTCCGCCCAAGGAGGAAAATGGAAAGGCCGACGATGCCGCTGGTTCTGAGAACCAATAAGACTCCCAGTCTACCACAGGTATAATGGGTGAGCTTCTTGGCAATCTGAAGTTAGCGGAGGATGGAGACAGTTCGCAGGATTCCGATCCTGAGGACGTCGACGTCACTGTCGTGTACGATCCTGATCTTGGAGATGGTGAAGGTAACCCAGATTAACCTTCACCACTCCAAAGCAGCATCAGCTGCTTTGCTCCTCCGGATGGCTGAGAGAGGGGAGGAGCTCATCTTGGTCCAAGAACCGTGGACCCACCACGGCAAAATCCTTGGACTATCTCTCAGCGGTTACAAACTTCTGTTTTCAAATCCTGCAGGTAATATTAAAAATATTAGAGCCTGTATTCTGGCCAAAAACCATTTAGATATCTTCATCTTATCTGATTACAGCGATGAGGATACGGTAGCGGCGGCACTTGAGACCGGAAACTCCACCATCTGGCTCCTTAGCTGCTATATGGCG